CCAAGCAGCTCGCCACGGATGCCGCGCCTGATCCAGACGACGAGTCAAGGAGCTTGAGAAAAGGATTGCAATGCACAACAACTTCCCGATTAATAGGCTCATCCAGCCGAAGTTAGGAGACCGCCTGCTTCATATGCGAACTTACAGCTTCATTGCACGAATATCCCCATGACTGCGCGACCGTGGATTTGCCCCCAGGACGCCCCAGACGAGTCCAGAAAGAAATGGGCTCAATAGTTTTGACCAGGAAAGCCGCGGCTTTCTGAGCCTCCGAGGCGCCCCAATACTTCTTCGGAAATGCAGCGTGGAAGGGGTGCCGAACTTTGTTTCCTGCGCACCAGCGACGCCGAAAAGACCCCCCTCGACGAGGAGGATCACGCCGTTGAGAGAGGAGCCCCAAGCAATACTTGCCCCTGGAGCCCTTGGCGACGAGGGCCCCGACCTCCTCGAGCCTGCACAAACCCAGCGGACAGGCCTACCAGGGAACGCGTTCTCACGTTGTTTGGTGGCCAGCAGCGAGCTGAGCGCCGAGCCCTGGAAATCCCCCGGCTGCAAACCTCGCTGGACAGCTTTATGCCTGAGCCCTTCTGAGCGACAGTTGCCATGAAAGCGTTGCCCTCTGGGCCCTTCTGGGTCTCGCGGGCCGGCAGGGGCGGTCGGGGCCCTACCCCACGTTCAGTTGGGACACGCCAGCAAGCTCGCGGCACCTTGGCAGTCATGTCCTTGATGACCCTACTCGGGGATAACTCCACGGGACGACGAGGGCTGCATGGCGCGCGAAGATCACCACCCACCTCGCCCGTAACAAATTCTGAGATAGAAGAAACCGGTAACGACGAAGGGTCAGCCGCCACCAGAGCAGGCGCTCCGGTCGCCCAGATGACGCAGGGTAGCAGAGCAGGCAGATGCTGACGAAGTTGACTGGGATTCACAACTAAATCTCCCCCGATGCTGAAAATGAGATGATGCGAGTTCAATCGCTCCAAATCGAATGCATCCAACTTATTGCTCAACTGTGGCAATCCTTCGACATCTTTCAGATCTACTGAGTAGCAGACGGAGGCCTCCACGGTAGACCCTCGAGAAGATTCAACGAGAATTTCTCCCAGCGAATACCTGTCCCGATTCACCTGGCGGGGTTCGCATTGAGATGCTTGCGAGCGGTCGCGGACGTGCCTGCCGAGGGTATGTCCGAAGTTGTTCTGGATATTGATACCCCCACACGCGCGCGTACTGCTCCGTCTCCACCCCTCAAGCCTAGTTATCTGATGGCGATATGGCGCACTGCCCAATCGATGTTCTTGCACCAAGGCGACGCCAGCCTTCGTGGACTTGACAGGCCCTGTGAGACTGGGCGCCTTGCCGGCAAACTCGCAACCCTGAAAGTCCGCCCGAGCCCCATCTCTACCAGAGGTCCCGACTTGCTAGTGCCGACCCCATGACGGCAGCGAAGACGGATCTGGCGCTGAGTCCAGCGGCGACAGCGTATCTGATTGGCCGCTCAGTTGGCGCCCACCCACCAGAGGTCCCGACCTGCTAGCACCGACCTCGAATAGCGAAGTCTTCGAAAACGAAGTCAGGTCCTCTGCTGGCGCCGCACCTAGCAAGTGGTGCATTCAGCTCCTTTCAACGGGGACCCTACCTGCCAGCGCTGCCCCCCATTATCCAGTTCGCGCGGCTGCGAGGCTCATTCATCTGTCAAAGCAATCGAAGTCGTGGGTGTCACCGAATGACTCAAGGACGCAGCTCCGGACAACGTCGCCGACGCTGGACATGGCCCCCGAAATTGAGACAAACCCCGCGGCCCATCACAGTGCGAATGTCGATTCGCTGGAAGTCCAAGTTGTCAAACTTGTCAACGAGAGCGAATATCCACCCACCAAGTTCGGAATTCATTCATCCGAAGCATATATCCTCGCAGGTGCAGGATGTGACTCGCCCATCAAAAGTGCAATAACTGGCTTGATCCTTAGATTGATACGAGTTTGGCGAGGAGGCCCCGTGCAAGGAGTTCCCCCACTCCTGCTGCCCTGTAGATACATATTTGAAGACTCTCTCCGATGGCCCTGGACAACGAAGCCACAATACCTCTGCAGCGGCCCCAATAACCTCCAGAGTAAACCTCCAAATGCCTTCGCTAACCCCTGGGATGGAATCGCACAGTCCGTAGCTTTTGGCTCAAGTAGCCTGCTCGCCTAGCCCTTGGTTCGAGCTGGCTATGGTCATGGCCGAAGCGATGGCGGAGGCTCTCCTCAGCGCCGCCGCGCGCGCTGGCGGCTCTTGCCAGGCGGCGGGTCACGGCAGCGGCCCTCTGGCGAGCGGCCCAGGCTGGCGGCGGCAACCTGCAGGTCGAGGACAAGGATGTGAATCACGAGATCCAGGCACGGGGCGAGCTCGCCAAGCCCGTCCTGCGAGCGAAGGTCGAGGCTGCGGTCCGCGACAGGCCGATCGAGATCGACGGCGGGGCGACGGCGCTCCGGAACGTCGCGGAGCATGGCCTACTCGGAGAGGGCGCGGAGGCGCTGCCCTAGCGCGGGATGGGGGCCACGCGGCAGCAGAGGGCGCGGCGGCGTCGCGCCCGCATCGCGCAGGACACCGCCATCGTCGGCATCAACGGCCATTTCGATGCAAGGTCGAGATGCGCCAGTTCGACTTCGCCGACGCGGACGCAGCGATCCCGGAGAAACCTCGGCCCCGCAAGGGGGCCGCCAGAAACGGCTCCAAGTCCCAGCGGGTGGTGGAGCTGATGAAAAATTGCCAGGAGGCGGAGTTCGAGCCACCTTCGAGGCTCATGGTTCATGATGGAGGTGCAGGTCGACAAGGCTAAGAAGGTCGCGATCTCTGCGCGCATGGCCGACTCCCTGCGCGCGCGAGCCCACCGAGCACGATTGGCCCGTCAACGCGGCTCGCCTCTTGAAGGCGCGGGCCCCGACGAACGCCGAGACAAACAAGGGCGCGGGCAAGAGCAAGACCCACGACGCCTACGAACAGTGCGACACGTACATCATCGGCAAGGGCAAGGGCGCCCTCAGCTCCAGAGGCCAAGGGCATCGCGACCGCGAATGCGGAACCGAGCCCTTCTCCTCACGAGTGCCAGCGTAGCGCCTCCAGCTCCAGAGTCTGACGGCCTCGGGGCCGCCGACGCGACGCGGCGCTCCTCTTGCCCATGCGCATTAAAAAAGACATCGAAGACCTCTTCCCTCGCTCTGTCGGCGGTGCCTGGTTTGCCCCGAGCCCGCGTGTTTCTCCGTCTTGCTTGTTTCGGCTGAGCTGGCAAACCCAGTAGCGATTCGCATTTTTTCCGCGGCGCTCATTGGCGTCCAGCTGCGCGCCGGCGCAGTAGCGCGGCAGCGCTGCGCTCTTGCCTCGCGCCAACCGCGTGGGCAAGCGCAAGTGGCGAGCGCCAGGATGCCGCTCGGGAGGCTGAAAGGGCACTAGCGCCACCCAGTGGGCGCACTCAGGCCTGCGCAGGTAGCAGGAGGCCTTTCCGGGGGGGGGAAGACCGAGCTGGAATCGCACACATCGGCGAGATCTGCCGATCCACCTCCATGCATCCTCCAGCTGGCACCGCCCGACCGAGGTATAATGTCGAGGTCGGCTCGGGGAGGGCACCCTCGTGTTCTTCGTGTCTGTTGGACGTTTTTGCGCAGATTGGGGAGGGTGCCCCCCTTTGGATGTCTTGTGTTTTGGCCGACGGAGGGTCTCATGTTTTTGAGGGGTGGTATTATTGCCTGGGTCCGATTGTAATGGACCTCCTGAATGGCCTCATTGACCTCTGGGATGGAATCGCACGCGTCGGCAAGATCTGCACCATCCACCTCAACGCATCCTCCAGTTGGTACCTCAGTGCCGTCGGATGATCCCGCTGCGCTGCCAGCCTGGGTGCCTCTGCCCCACCCCTCGGATCGACCTCTAGGAGCAGGTGGTTGAGTGGTTGGAGGTCGCCGCTGCTGATATTCAGGGACAGTTGACTTCAACATGTCCAGGAAGATTCCGGTTTTGCTGTGTAAATCATTTCGTAGCATGACTGCCGATGCCGTCCAAGACACTCTTAAATTCACGGAGCTGGCCGTTGAGAAGATCTGCAGTCGGAGCTTTGGGAATAGCCTCAACACGATTTGCTATTTCACGCGTTGCCACATTTGCGGTTTCCCTTTTGTCTTCTGAGTAACAATGGCGCGGTCATCACGTTGCTGAATGAGCTCTTCTACTTGTTCGGACAGCACAGCACGTTCCATTTCGAGTTTGGCGATCCGCTGAGCTCGACGGGCATCGTCTTGCCCGGTCTTGGGCAAAACCTGGCTTGAGGGTTTTGCTTGAAGCCTTTCCTCCTGAGCGGCGTCCCAAGCAGCAGTTATACTGTCACTGGTTGCCTTGGGCCGCACATCTTTGAATCGATTCTGAGACATTTGAAGGATGCGATGAAGTTCGTCCATGGTTCCCTGCGGCTGCGACCTGGCTCTGGTCTGAGCTCCGACACCTTTGCCTCGAGCCTTACCACCGCCGTCACCGTCGCTGCGCTTCCGTATCCCGCCTCCGCCGTCACGAACCCACGGTTCTTTCCAGAAGCCACGAGGGGCTGGAGGAGCATCAGCACTAGGGCCACGAATACGGGATTTGCAACGATAGCAGAATTGAGAAGGTGTGTGGTTTTTCTTGCAGCCGCATATGGCACACGCAATCGAATCCCTGCAGGAGCCATCCTGCCCTTTGGCACCAGCGTCGCCCCAGGCCATGCCAGCCCTGCCAAAACTGATTTGAAAAATAGAGATCTACCGCGAAATTGGACACTGACGTGTGACCTTCCCGAAGAAAGCGTCTGGGCGCCCCCTTGATGGGTTGTCGCACGGCCGCGGAAGCCACAAATTCGAGCCTCTGCGACGCGGGATTCAAATTTGAGCCCACATGGCTACGGCTTTCCTCCTCCTCTGCCCTCCGCCCTCATTGCTCCCATCGTCGTCATCATCCTGGTCGCCGTCGTGATCGCCGCCGGGGCCCAGGAGCTGTCGTTCGACGACCTGGAGGACAGGGCCTCGGAGGACCAGCTCGCCAAGACCAAGGAGCTGAAGGCGTCGGCGCTCGAGGGGATCAGGCCCCGACGGGGGCGCCGACGGTCCCCCCCTGCATTGGTGCTTGGGCGGCCAGGCCAGCTCTGATCTGGGCCGGCGCATACGGCCGCCACGAAGGCGGGCCGCCACGGCTATGATCGAAGAAGAGAACACGGCATAAACATAATTTGTTGGCGCTCCGCGCGGATTTGTTGGATCTGCGCTGGGGCCCCCTGGCGGAGCCTCTGGCGCCACCCCGGGCGCGCTCCGCGCGCCAGGGGGGATGGGGGTGCCCAGCACAGAACCAAGAAATCCGCGCGGAGCGCCAAAAGTTTATGTTTATGTTAGTTTTTCGTTTTCAATCTGATGTTCCAATCCACTGTAGACTTGACCGCCAGAAAGGATTTCGAACAACCGAAACTGGAGGGTTTTCACGTGTCGGGCCCTTGGAGGCGATACTCCTTCGACACCGTTTTGATATGTTCTGGGTGCTCGAGATTGTTTCTGGGATGTGGTCCTTAAGCACGATGGGAACAACTCAGGAGGGGAGAAAACACACAGACACAATTAATCGTCCACTCCCAGGAAAATATGGGAAAATATGGGAAGTGGGGGGGAAGACAGAAACCCAGAAAATATGGGAAAATATGGGCAATCCTTTTATTTGTGTGTATTTATTTGTGTGTCCTGGCGCCCCTTCAGCTATGGAGGAAAGGGGCCTCGTCCTTCCTGGCACAGGCTTCGAGGCGATTCGCCGGCAGCGTCCGTGGCGGCGGCCGCGGGGCCCGCGGCCTAGAGAAAGCCAGCCTCGAACGCGCTGTGCCATCCGCGTGGCGGAGCTCGGAGACGCTGGCGGCATCGTGGACGATCCCCGCGCCGACTCAATCTCTGACCCCACCATCCTCACCACCACCGCCCAGCGTTTCCATTCCTTCTGCTCCTTCTGCTCCTCCTCCTCCTCCTCCTCCTCCTCCTCCTCCTCCTCCTCCTCCTCCTCCCCCTCCTCCACCTCCTCCTCCTCCTGCGGATCTCTGAGCTTTTATGTTTATGTCATTGTTTGTTCCCCCAAAGTGGAAGTGGTCATGAGGGAAAGGGTACAGCAGGTGTTTCGCCGTTCTGGGGGGGGGGTCTCCATGGGCCCTACAAGGGCCCAAGGACCGCCCAGGAACGGCCCAGGATGAAGAGTTGACCTTTGGGGGGCAGCCCTGGGGTCCAGGACCCGTTCCCCGCAGGACCCGTTGTCTTCAGGCCCACACGCGCTTCCGTGCTCGGCCCTCAGAGGGCCGAGATCCGCCGGCACGCTGACCCAGCGTTGACCTGGCAGTCCAGGGTCGGTGCACGTCGGCAGTCGGCGCCCCCCCCCCCCCTCCGGTGAGGGAGTCGATGTCGAGCAACCTGCACAGGTCAGGCAGAGCTGAGGGGATTCACCACCCGGGTGGTCGCCAGCTCCTCCCGAGGATCGAGGTTCGGGCTCCGGGGAGAGTTTGGGAGATGTCTGGGGAAGGTTTGGAGAAGGTTTGTGGAATGTTTTGGGGGAAAGGCAACCGACAGAACAAAAAGAAAGGGTCCCTCTGTCCTCGAAGAGGTGGCGACCCCCCGGTGGCCGTGCCCCCTTGGCGCTGACTGGAAAGGGCGGAGATGGAGGTCGACGCCTCGTCCGCACTGGAGGGCTTCGCGGAGCCTCTCAACGAGACAGAGGCCGCCGAGATCGCTGACGCCTGGCTCACCATGCCAGGCGCCGACGTCACCTTCAGCTACAACACCCACTGCGACCCGGTGACGGGCTGCCGCAGTAGCGGCCACAAGCCGGGGCAGCCGTCCTTCCAGGAGATGCACCGCAACGTGTTGGCTTCCCTCCGCGCAATGCGCTTCTGCTTCAGTGACGTCCTAGTCATCCTCGACGTCCCCCACGTGGGCCACGACAAGCTCGGCCCAGAGACGCCTGGCAACGTCACAAGCCACATGGTCGTCGGGGGGCGGCCGGTTAAAAAAGGTCAGACCGACCGCTCACCTTTGCCCTCGGGGAGCCCCTCCCGCCCATCTGCCCACAGGCAACGGTGTCAGGAGGGAAAATAACACACAAACACACACAAGTAATCGCCGATTCCCAGGAGAAGATGGGGAAATATGGGAAAGGGGGGGGGAAGACGCAAATCCAGAAACTATGAGAGAACATCCAGATTTCACGGCGCCCCTTCTCATCTCAATGCGTTCCCTGGCCCCCCTCCGGTCCGCGCGCATGCCTCGGGCCGTCACTCGCAGACACCCCTCCTGGGCGCCCCCCTCTTGGACGCCCCCGACCCGTGCAGGATGCCTTGTCGGCTTCTGCTGGCAGCTTTGGAGCCGTGGCGGTCCTCAGTTTATGATGCTCCAGTCTACTTGTAGTCAGGAGGGGAAAAAGCACACAGACACAATTAATCGTCGATTTCCCAGAAGATATGGGGAAATATGGGAAGTGGAGGGGAGACAGAAATCAAGAACATACCGGAAAATATGGGGAACCCTTTTATGTGTGTGTATTTATTAGTGTGTCTTTGGGCCCTTTCATTTAGCCTTGATCACCAGGAAGATTTTCGAGCGCCCAAGAAAATACCGAAACTCAAGGGTTTTCACGTGCCGGGCCCTGGGAGACACTGTTTCGACACTGTTTCGACACTCTTTTGACATTTGTCTGGGTGCTCGAAATTATTTCTGGGATTTGCGGTCCTGAAGTAGGACGGGAGCAACATAATCCTCGGTGCGCCTTCATGCACGCACGGGCAAAGATCGGCAGGCGAGCGCACGTAATTGCAGTGTGCGTGCCAGCGAAGAAACCAGCCTGACAGCAGGTGTCCCATGGAGATTTCCTTGTCGACGATGCCTCCGTGCACACGCTGGAGTCCATGGGTTCCCCGCGAAGTCCAAAATCGACCAAATCATGTGCCCCCTAGACTTCTCATAACACGATGTCTTGACGTGTGCACCCCTGTACTCTGGACCAGCGAGAGGTCGTCCCCAAGGAGGCGCCTGGGTCATTCAGCGAGCTGCGGCTGGCAGCCGGCCAGACCGTCAAGAGGTTCAGCGTGGATTCTGGGCTCTCGGCGGCGGCCACCGCCACCGCCAAGGCCGCCGCGGAGCTGCTGCGCGACCACTGCCCTGCCGCCGCGCCCCAGTGGAAGGCCCGTGGTCAGCTGGCCGCCCAGAGGGCCCAGGGGACGGGGGGGGGGGGCCAGGGCTCAGTGGGCCCCGGAAAAGACAGGGCCGTTTTTGTTACCGGCCCCATTTTGCTGTTTTTGTTGCCAGTTCCGCCGCCGTTTTGTTTCCTGTTCCGTCGCCATTCTTTTCCGGGTTCCCGCTCCGGTTTCAATCCTGGAGCCGTTGTTGTTGCCGTTTCCGACCGCCGTTTTCTTGCCGTTTTCGTTTTCAAGTGACCTTTTTTCGGAAAAGAAAGAAAAAAAAACAAAAAAAAAAAAAAAAAAAAAAAAAAAAAAAAAAAAAAAAAAAAAAAAAAAAAAAAAAAAAAAAAAAAAAACGGCCCTGCCGCTTCCGGGGCCCGCGAAGGGCCAGGGACAACCGAGCGGACCGACCGAGGCAAAAGGGCGATCGTGATCGGTTGGAGACATGCCAATACCGGGGGAGCGTAAGACCCGGGTTTGCCGGGACTCGGGTTCGCCATCGTTTTTTGACGACCGCGACTCGGATTGACGAGGAGGAGTTTTGTGGGATGTCTGCAGCGGGAGACCTCGTCAAAATGCAGGCTCGGCCTCGTCATTTTTTTGACGACCTCGTCGGGGATTTCCGAGTCCCCCGTACCCGGGTCTTACGTCTCCCCGACAATACTGTTGTGTCTCTGGCCCAGGGGAGACACCGCCTTGGCTGCTCCTGGACTGCCCCAATCGATAAGAGCCCGCCGATCCCGATTGCCCTCGGGGCCCTGGTGAGGGTCTGCTTGGCCCCGCGGGCGAAGGGAGGCAGGCGGAGGGAGAGACGGATGGAGGGATTATGAGGAGGAAGAAAGGGAGGGAGGGAGGGTTGGAGGAGGAGGAGGAGGAGGAGGAGGAATAGGAGGAGGAGGGGGGGGAGGAGGAGGGGGAGGAAGAGGAGAATGAGGGCCCCCCGAGGAGGAGTGGTGAGGAGGACGGGTAGGGACAAGGATAAGGAGGCCGAGGAGGAGTGGTGAGGAGGACGGGTAGGGACAAGGATGAGGAGAACGAGGAGGAGGTGGAGGATGAGAAGGAGGAGGACACGTCGGCACGCCGCATTGGCGTCGGTTTGTGGGGTCCCGAAGAGGTGCCTGGGCCCCGCGCGCTTGCTCCCCAGGAGGAGGGGATGTTTGGAGACATCCAGCAGTGGCGAAGCGCCCTGACTCGCCTGCAGGCCCACCGAAGAATGTTTTAAGAACCTTTTCTGGTCTGCACGAAATGTGTTTTACAGCCTTTTCTGGCCGAGGCCGTCTTGAGCACTTCAGGCTTATGTTCCAAGAACAGTGTTGTTTTGGAACATGTTCGCGTTCGAAGAAAATTTCGTGGTAGGACTATAGGAATGCCCAGACGGTCGGTCCCTGCTCAAGGATGAAGGAGGGAAGGGGCAGGCCGTAAACCTTTAGCAGAGTTCCCCGAATACCTCCATCCCTTGTCCTCCTCCCCCGTCTTCCCCATCCCTCTTCATTAGAAGCATCCCACCCTCGTCGCAGCACCAGACGTGTCAGCTCTGCGGGCCAGGAGTTTCGCCTGGGACCTCCTCACAGCGTATGATTTGGATGCTTAAAACCCCGAGCGGTTACACGCTCGAGTAACTATAGAGGGCGGAAGTCGACAGCACGCACGCCTTCGCCTGAAAAGCTTCCAGCAGCTGCGAGGAGTGAGGACGCAATTTCGACAATGTGGCTCTGCCGCGCACGTTCTTGTGGAAAGCGCCCAACAGCTGCAAAGATGGATGACGGGCCATCTTTGAAGGGTGGATGTCGCCTCAGCGCCGCGCGCATTCGACTCCTATGACTGCAACTGCTACAAGGATGGAGGGACGTCCCTTTTCAGCATCGAGCTTTGCTTAGAACTCCTTCCCATGTGTACGCTCATGTGTATACTGTTGTATAACAGCTGCACGGATGATGAACGGTTCCTCTCTAGCTTGGGGCTATAAATTGGTACGTCTTCAGCATGTTTGAAGCACGGACGGAAGGCAGTTCTTTGTTTAAACGGGATAGTTGTTTGGCATGTCTCTGGGTTTCACGACCTTGCCCTGGCGCATCCCTTACAACTGGAAGGATACAGTGGCAGGGCAGATATGTGTCCAAACGGAGCTCTAGTCTGAAAGACAGGCCGATGGGGAGGTTGTCTTTCGGGGGGGGACTCTCGGCAGGGGGGGGGGGGGCGGGGGCGCGTCCCGAAGCGAAAAGGACTGTTTGCAGGGAGTTACCGAACAACGGCACAGGGCAGGGGGGGGTGTACCGCAGCATGTTTTGAGCATCCCGAATCCCTCATCCCCCTCGTCCTCCCTCCTCCGCATGCCCCTCCCCCTCCCATTCTTCCATCCATCATCCCCCCTCCTCTCAATGTCTTACCTCCTCAACCCTCCGTCACTTCCGCTTTCCCCCTCCAGATCCCCCCTCCCTCCCGTTCTCTCGCCCTCCTGCCTCCCCCCTCCGTCTAACCCCCCTTCAGTTTCTTACCTCCGCCTCCCCATCAGCCCCTTTCCACAATTATTCAATATGAATACACCCTCCTCCTTCCCCTGATGGCGTGCGGAAGATGGCGGGCACCCCTCCGCGTACTGTTTGTTACATTGGATGTCCCGGAGTTGGGTTTTCGCTTTGGTTTTTTTCAAAATGTTGCTCTCGCTGAGGCGCCCGCCTCATTTTCGGGCTTCCTTCCGCTCGTTCCGAATCGTGCTCCCGCTGCAGCGTGGGCCTCATGTTCGGATCGGTGTTTTGCATCCGTCGTTCAGGATGGCGTTCTCGCCCCAGCGCGGGCATCTTTCTCGCGCGCCTATCCGCCCGCCACCACCGCACCGCGCCCCGCCCCGCCCACCGCCATTTCCACCCACCAACGCACGCACTCACACACGCACGCGCACCACCACCGCGCATCGCCATCACCACCCCACTACCCCACCCACCACCACCACGCTACACCACGTCACACCACATCACACGCGCGCGCACACAGACACGCACGCACGCACGCACGCACGCACGCACGCACGCACGCACGCACGCACACACACACACACACACACACACACACACACACACACACACACACACATACACACACACGCACACACACACACACACACACACACACGCACACACACACACACACACACACACACACACACACACACACGCACACAGACCACCACCACCACCACCACCGCCACCACCACCGCCGCCATCACGCACGCACGCACCTGGCCCACCACCAAACCACCAAGACGCCACACCACGTCACACCACAGCACACGCGCACACACGCACACACACAAACACACACACACCACCACAACCACAACCACAACCACGCACACACGCACGCACGCACGTGCACCACCACCCACTACGTACGTGCGCGCGGAGCCACAGGTCTGCTACGACACGCGTCCGCGGATAGAGAAAATCAGCGCCACGGTAAGGGATGGGAGGGAGGGGTAGGACGTCAGATCTGACGCGAGCGCACATAGCTTGTCCTCCTCCCCCTCCCCCTCCTCCTCCTCGTCCTCTTCCTCCTCCTCCTCCTCTTCCTCCTCCTCCTCCTCCTCCACATAGTCCTCATCGTCCTCAGGGGGGGGGGGGCGGGGGCTTGGGATGGTCCACTGGCCGCGTTAGAAGGTGAAGGTCATGGACTACGGCTCCCAGGACCTGCGGCAGCGGGCGCTCGAGCATTACGCCATCCCCGACGGCGAGAAGAACAGCAGTTTCTTCGACAACATGTGCCGAGGGGGGGTCCTAGTAGTTCTCCCTCCTCCACCTCATTGTCCGCCTCGCTCCTCCTACTCCCCCCTCCTCATCAGCATCGTTCCTCGGGCTTCCCCCTTCCACCTCAACATATACGTAAGGGCTTCGCCCCATGCCGCCGGCCCCCTGTCTCGGACAATGAGAGATGCAAAAGCTAAATCGTGAGGTCTGGGCGCCGCCGTGAAGCAGTGTCGGGACTTCTTTGTTTTTCGACCCTGACCCTACGGACGTGCGTCACGGGTGCCACTGAATTTCGGAAATGTGGCAAATCCCCCGTGGTTTTGGACCCTGGCCTTACGGATTTGCGCGAGGGGTGCAACCGAATTTCGGAAATGTGGCAAATCCCCTATGGTTTTGGGCACTGACCCTGCCGATCTGCGTGAGGGGTGCCGCCGAATTTCAGAAATGTGGCAAATCCCATATGTTTTTGGACCCTGACCCTGCCGATCTGCATGAGGGGTGCCACCGAATGTCAGAAATGTGGCAAATCCCTTGTGTTTTTGGACCCTGACCCCGCCGATCTGCGTGTGAATGCCGCCGAATTTGAGAAATGTAGCAAATCCTTTTTGTGTTTTTGGCACTGACCTGGCCGATCTGCGTGAGTGGTGCCACCGAATTTCAGAAATGTGGCAAATCCCACATGTTTTTGCGCCCTGACCCCGCCGATCTGCGTGAGGGGCGTTACCGAATGTCAGAAATCTGGCAAATCCCTTGTGTTTTTAGACCCTGACCCCGCCGATCTGCGTGAGGGGTGCCAGCAAATTTGAGAAATGTGGCAAATCCTTTGTGTTTTTGGACCCTGACCCCGCCGATCTGCGTGAGGGGTGTCAGCAAATTTCAGAAATGTTGCAAATCCCCTTTGTTTTTGGACCCTGACCCCGCCGATCTGCGTGAGGGGTGTCAATTTCAACCCGCCACAGCAATTCAGACAACACGCTCAGGGCGTGGTAAGAATACCCGTTTTGGGCCTCCCCCCTTCGCGCGGTCCATCAACAGGGAACAGTAAGCAGCAAGAAGCAGAACTGCAACACAGTACGCAGCAGGAAGCTGCAACTGGTGCAGGAAACTGCGAAGCTTCGGCCTACAGCCTGGTGGCCCCACAAGGGGGCCGGCGGATTTCGTCGTCGTCCTCTTCCTCGTCCTCCTCGTTGCTAGTTCTCCCTCCTCGTATTCCTCATCGCCCTCTCTCAGTTTTGAGCGTCCGCCTCCCATTATTATTTGTCTTCCTTGTCCTTAAATGCCTTCACCACCTTGCACCACTCATGTTCTAATCGTGATCCTCGCCTTCGTCGTACCCTCTCGTCCCTGATCCGCCCTCATCCCTCCCTCTCGTCCCCCCCTCCTCCTCCTGCTCCTCCTCCTCCTCGTCCTCGTCCTCCTCCTCCTCCTCCTCCTCCTCCTCCTGCTCCTCCTCATCATCATCATCAGCAGCATCATGATCAGCATCATCAGCATCATCATCGCTCCTCCTCATCCTCCCTCATCCTCGTCCTCCCTCCTCCCTTCTAGTAGTCATCCTCTCCCTCCGCCTCCTATTCCTAGTTATTGTCCTCATCCTCCTCCCTTGCTTTCAATATTTCAACTCCTCAATATCCGCCTCCTACTTCAGCATCCCTCTCTCGCCAATCCCTCACATGTACATCAACACCATGGCGCTCGACGAGAACTTCCAGGCCAAGAGCCAGTACGTGTACCACATGGACGCCCAGTGGCGCCTCTACAGGAGCAACTTCTCGAGGGCCACGCCCAACTTCATCGAGAAGGTCCTCCCCTCTGACGGCAGAGGAAGAGGAGGAGGAAAAGGAGGAGGAGGAGAAGGAGGAGGAAGAGGAGGAGGAGGAGGAGGAGGAGGGGAGGAAGATGGATGAGGATGATTTCGAGGGCGAGGTCCTCGATGAGGAGAAGGACAGGATTTGGGAGGAGGACGAGGAGGATGTCGAGGCCGTCTCGCTCATGAAGTCAGACAGCCGGGTCTACATGGCCTCGGTCATGAACACGTTCAACCTCGAGCCCCAGAAGAACCCGTACAACAAGTTCGCGGTGATTCCTGGCTCCGTGCACGGCAGCACCCCGATCGAGCGCGTGAAGGGCATGTTGGAAGGTTGGAGCAAAGACCAGTGGCTTTCGCAGAAGCGCCCGCTCCGAGGAGAGGCCTTCCACGGGCGTTGGGAGGACACGTCGGACGAGGGGAACAAGAAGATCGCGCTCTTCAAGATGAACTGGGAGAAGTGGGGCGGCATCGTCACCCGCCACCAGTTCCTCATGGACACGCAGCGCTTCAAGAGCCTCTTCCCGCTGGAGGACATGTATCTCCTGCTCTTCCCAGTCAGCCTCCCCTCAGGGTCCAATCCGATCCCATCGGCCCGAATCGATGTCGATTCCGACCAGCTCGATCCGATTGGACCCCGATGTTCCGACGACCCCATGTGGCCCGATGCTCGCCTGGCGCTCTTGTGCACTTTGACGCAGCCGATCCGATCCGACTTTGGCTCCGCGCCGGCGCAGCTCTATCCGACGCGCATTCCAATTCGATCCGACTCCCCGATTCGATGCCGACTGAGTCTGCCTGCTCCTCCCAGTTTGCCCTCATCCCCATCCTCCATCCCTTCCCGCTCCTCCCCCCTCCTCCTCCCCCCTGGCCTTGCCCCTCCCCGCTCGAGGAGTGGGACACCGCCGCGGAGCACATGTGGTCCGCGAACATGAACAAGAAGGCCCACCCCCCCCTCGAGGGAGGAAAGGGAGAAGACGACGGAGGGATGACCGGGGCTGATGATGAGGAGGAGGAGGTCGGCGTCGTCGTCACAGTCGTCGTCGTGGTCGGTGTCGTTCTGGTCACGGTCGTCAGCGTTGGCACCGTCGTCGTTCTCGTCGAAGGCACCCGACAGCGCCTTCCAGATCTACTTCAACGAGACGGTCGGCATCTTCGCCGGCCCCTCCGAGGCCTGAGAGAGGTTCTTCCTCGCGATCATCCCTCCCCTTCCTCGTCCTCCTCCACCTCATCCTCGCCGTCCCCGAGTCCATCCATGCATATTCCTCTTCTTCATCATGTGTTCTCCCCTCTTCGTCCTCGTCTTCGTCCTGCATGCATATTCCTCCTCTTCGTCCATGCATGTGTCCTCAGCCTACTCCTCGTCGTCTTTCTCATCCTTCTCAGTCATCCTACCCCTCCATATCATCCCACTCCTCCTGAATATGTTCCTCTTCATGACTGCGCATCCTCCTCTTCCGTCATCCTCCGCCCCGTCTTCATCCATCCTCGTCCTCGTCCCTTCTTGGCCTCCTCCTCCTCCTCCTCCTCCTCCTCCTCCTCCTCCTCCTCCTCCATGGTCGTCCTCGTCCCACCTCCTCTTCCTTCTCCCGCCTCCCTCCTCCTCCTCATCATCATCCTCCTCCTCATCCTCCTCCTCCTCCTCATCCATCCCTTTTCCTTATAATTAACATATCCTTGTCGCACCCCGAGGCCAGCTTTTAGGGCGGGCTGAGCGTTTCGCCTGAGACTTACTCACCAGTTACCCATCTGAAGCTTAAAATTGGCAACAGCTTCACAGATGGAGGGCGGGCCGTTTTCAAACTGTGGCTCTCGCCTGAGCGCCTGGCACATTCGTTTGCAAAAAATGCAAGAGCTTCGCGGATTGAGGGCGAGTCGTTATCAAAATATGGTTATCGCTTTATCGCCGCGCACATTCGTTTGAAAAATACAAGGGTTTCACGGATTGAGGGCGAGTCGTTTTCAAAATGTGGTTCTTGCTTTAGCGCCGCGCACATTATTTTTAAACATATGCCAGAGCTTCACGGATTGAGGGCGGTTCTTTTTCAAATTGTGGTTATCCTTTTGTCGCCACGCACAGTCGTTTATACAATCTGCAAGAAGCTCATGATCCACGTACCAGAAATTGCGGTTTGGAAGGGTTCAGGAGCATGCGGGTGCAACAGTTACGTTGTTTCGCGGTGTTGAAGTCCCAGGAATGGCGTTCCGGCACCGTTCAGGATCGTCAAAACGGAACGGTCAGGTTGATCCGTAGCGTTGGAATCCCGAGAACAAGGTTTTGGCATGATTCAGGGTCTTCAAACGGTTGTCTTCCAATGAGGCAGCTCCCTCAATGGAAATGAACCGTTGTAGGGGCCTATGAAGAGGGAGTTTAAAGGGAGGGTTTATTCCAACATCGTTTATGACTCTTGGGTTTACTCTGGTCCTCCTCCTCCTCCTCCTCCTCCTCCTCCTCCTCCTCCTCCCTCCTCTTCTTCCTCATCCTTCTCCCTCTTTCTCCTCCCTCCTTCTCCTCTTCCCTCTTCCTTTTCTCTGGCCTGCTTCCGGGAGCCCAAACCATGGTGTTGTGACCTCGCGGCGTGGCCTCCAGAAGGGGGCCTCCACGAGGAGGCAGAAGGAGGAGGAGAGGAGGAGGAGGAGGAAGAGCAGGAGGAGGAGTAGGAGGAGGAGGAGGTGGAGGAGGAGGAGGGGGAGGAGGAGGTGGAGGAGGAGGAGGAGGGGGCAGGAGAAGGAGAAGGAGGAGCAGGAGGAGGAAGGCGCAGGAGCAGCAGGAGAAGAGGAGGCGGAGGAGAAGGAGGAGGAGGAGGAGAAGAGGAGGAGAAGGAGGAGGAGGATAGGAGGAAGCCGAGAGGGAGGAGATTCTGCGGACCTTGGGCGGTCTGAGAGGACGAGGGCGGCGGGCAGGAGGAGGTGGCCACGGAGAAGCAGGAGAAAGAGAAGAAAACGGCATGGAGACGAAGAGGAGGAGGACGACGACGAGGAGGGAGGAGGGAGGTGGGGACGGGGACAGGGAAGGGAGGGGACGACGGACGACGGCACGTAGAAGAAGAGGAGGAGGAGGAAGAGGAGGAGGAGGAGGGGGGAAGGCGGGGAACGGCGAGGGGGGGGAGGGGAGGGGGGGGAGGAAGGTTTTGGTTGGATGACAATGAGGAGGAGCGAGGAGGAACATGAGGAGGAGGAGGAGGGGGAGGACAGAGGACCGTGTTTCACTTACATGTATTGGGCTCTCCTTCATGCAAGTGCTCTATCGGACACTTCTACAAAAGTCTTTGGCGGTTTGCTGACTGTTTCTGAAGAGGCATACTGCATCGCATCACCATCCGTCAGTATATCAATCGCCGTCGCCATCGCCAGTCGGTATAGCCACTACCACCACCACCACCATCGTAATCATCATCGTATGCTGCCCTACTCGTTATCATCCAATCATGTTAGTCGTCGTCCTCAGTGATATTACGCATGAACGCCCCATCATGCTCCTTGTTGCCATCATCACCGTAGCCCGGCACCGTTATCATTGTGTAATCTTCGTCCGCGTCCTCATCACCATCCGTATCATCGTAACGACTACTCCCTCGACACCGTCGCCATCATCGCAATCAGCATCAGCATCAGCATCATCATCGTCAGCATCAGCATCAGCATCATCATCATTGTCATCATCGGTATCATCATCAGCACCATCATCGTCATCGTCATCATCAGCATCATCATCACCGTCATAATCAACAGCATAAGCATCATCATTAGCATCAACATCATGATCAACATCATCCTCAGCAGCATCATCGTCAACATAAGAAGCCATTTGGCCCCCAGGCTCAACGCGACACCGTCTCTCTCTCTCTCTCTCTGTCTCTCTCTCTCTCTCTCTCTCTCCAGGGCGATGGACATGCAACAGCGCAAGCCTTGGGGCTGCAGCTGCAGAGCCACTCCTCCTCCAGCCCTTCTCCAATCCGCACGGGCGAGGAACTTCCCCTCGGAACACCCCTCTCCAGCCCGTCCTCCTGGAGCATCCCTGGGCGAGGGGGTCGGCTTCCGGAGCACGGGGGAGGATATTGTGGAGGATGCAAAGAAGAAGGAGGAGGAGGAGGAGGAGGAGGAGGAGGAGGAGGAAGGGGAGGAGGAGGAGGAGGAGGAGGAGGAGGAGGGGGAGGAGGAGGAGGAGGAGGAGGAGGATGTAAAGAAGAAGGAGGAGGAGGAGGATGAGGAAAGGGGGAAAGTCATGACCAAGGAGGAAAAGGCCTCTTGGGAGCCTGCTGGGGGCCTCTGAGGGCGTCTTGGGCGCCTCTTAGGGGCCCCTTGGGGGTCCGTTTGGGGCCTCTTGGGCCATCTTAGGGGGGCTCTTCTCTTGGCCCGTCTGACTTCGGAGGTCGTGTTGGTGTGCCTCTCTTGGCAGTCCTGGTTGTCCCTTGGAGCGCTTCAGGGCAGATTGGGAGCCCTTTTGAGGAGCTCTGGGGCGATCTTGGGTCCTCTTGGATCGACTCGGAGCCCTCTTTGGGGGGGCCTCTCTGGCTGTCTTGGGGATGGTCGTCTTGGGGCAGGAACCCCAACAGGTACGAACTTCAACCTCTTTTCTAAACACAGAACATCGGAACATAAAGGTGATTTGCGTCCTCGGAGACCTCTTGGAATCCCTTGGGGCCTCTTAGGCCGTCTTGGAGGCCGCTCTGGGCAGTCCTGGGCTCTAGGACCATCTTGGGGCCCTCTTGGGAGGCTCTTGGGCAATCTTGGGGTCCTCTTCGACCGACTTGGGGCTCTCTGCGCCGCCTTGATGCCCTCTTGGAGCGTTTTAGGGCGTCTTGGGGTCATCGTGGACGTCTCTTTGGCAATTTGGGGGTCTTCTTCGGCTGACTTGGTGCCCTCTTGGGAACCTCGTGGGCTGTGTTGGAGCTATCTTGGAGGCCTCTTGGACCGTCTCGGGCATTCGGAAGCCGAAACAGGCGAGAACTTCAACATCCATCAAAAACCGTTGGGAAATCAATGTTGGTTGCCTGCTCGGGCTCTCCTGGAGGGCCTCTTGGAGCCCTCTTGGGCCGTCTTACGAGCCTCTTGGGCCGTCTTGGGAGCGTTTTCTGCCGTCTTGGGCCGCTTTAAACCACATCATGTCATATTGGCTGTCGTGGAAACTGGTTTGGAGGGCATCTTGGCCGTCTAGAGGCCGAAAAGAGCGTTCGGGAACATATTCAGGGGGGGGCGATTTTCGGACCACGCGTGCAATGAGGGGAAGGGTCGGCCCTAGAAAATGGACCAACCGCGATCCCAATTAGGGACAATTTTCTTATTATATGGGCGCAATGGTTGGCCTTGCTGTGCATTGCTCGGCATTGCTTGGCATTGCTTTGCATTGCTTGGCATTGCTTGGCATTGCTTGGCATTGCTTGACATCGCTTTGCATTGCTTGGCATTGCCTTGCATTGTTTTGCATTGCTTGGCAGTGCTTGGTATTGCTTGGCATTCCTTGGCCTTGCTTTGCATTGCTTGGCAGTGCTTGGCACTGCTTGACATTGCTTGGCCTTGCGTGGTTTTGTTTTGCCTTGCTTTGCGTTGCCTGGCATTGCTTGGCAGTGCTTGGCAGTGCTTGGCATTGGCTGGCATTGCTTGGCAGTGCTTGGCAGTGCAGGGTATTGCTTGGGTTTGCTTGGCCTTGCTTTGCATTGCGTGTCATTGCTTGGCATTGCTTGGCACAGGCACAGTACAAACACGAGGCACCCGGGGCGGGGAACACACGGGGAACCAGGGGAATCCGAGGAACCCAGGGGAACACGGCGCTGGGGCCCCCCGGCGGCGCCTCCGGCGCCTCCCTTGGCGCGCTCCGCGCGCCAGGGAGGGGGGTCCAGCGCCGATCCGAGAAATCCGCGCGGACCTCCGAGTTGTTATGTTTATGTCATTTTTTGTTCCCCTATGTAACAACCCCTTAGGCAAGCCTAATTGGGGAATGTGCTTTTCAAATTTACCAGTCAGCAAGGCATTCTAACACGCCCGCTCCGTGCAGGCACGGTGGCGGATTCCTGATGTCGACATGATGCCGGTCCTCGGTCATTGTTGTTGCCAGATGCACCTCGATTGGTTTGTTCTCAAGCTTCTCTGGCGCCCAGCACGCCGCCATTTTTCTTCCGAGGCGACACTTCAGAACGCAATGACTAATCCCATGGGCCGTGACGTGCTGGGCAACAGGTCGTCAGGTCGCCGATGGAACGTACATCCCTTTTTCGAAGTATCGACCAACCATATGAGAACTTCTCGTTTGGTCCAGTCAATAATAGGTTTTCTTTTGAAGTGTTCCTGGGTCGCCCAGCCGGTGCCGGAGGGCCAGACTGTATATATTGTACACGTACACATATATGGGTACACATACAATTGCTGCAATGTACGTATAGCCCTCCGCATGCACCAGAAACCCCCCATTTGCATGGACTATATGAGTTCACGCAAGATACCCACAGATGTTGCACTCTATTCAACCCCGTCCGTCTACAACACAATACCCATTGCGAACCAGCCTTCGACTCCACCGCAGCACCAAATACTGAACAAGGCCCATCCAAAATATTAAAGTGAAAACGACCTTCTGCTGAACTTCCTCCGTCTACAACTCACCACCCACGATTCAAAAGACACCTTCCGCAAGCTGGATTTGCAAATCACCTTCTGATCAAGCCCTTCCGTCTAGAACACAACACCCAGTACTCCACAGTTTCCGTGTCCAACACAACACCCACTACCCAACAGGTTCCCGCCCCAAGCTGATTTTGAAACTCACTTTATACCATACCCTTTCCGTCACAACGCCCAGTACTCAACAGCCTCCGTTTCCAACACAACACCCGATATTCAACAGGCTCGTTTCCCAAGGGGAACGTGCGATCCCAACGAAAAAACACTTACTCAACACGCTCCTTCTCCAAGGCGAACTTGAAAATTACCTTGAAAATGACCTCGTCAATTCCCGTCATCTACAACCCAACACCCAGTACTAGCCAAGCTCGTCTCCAACACGCGAACCCACCCGCTCCGAAACTTCCGCCTCCACGGCTGGCGCGCGCACCTGAACCGCGCCCATATCTTCCAAAAGCGAAAAGGCGTTCATGGTTCGCGCGGAGACCCACATGTACATCTCTGTGTATGCTGGCGAACAGGGGTGGCAGCAGTGGAACGGCCAGTTCATTCACTCAAGCAATATACTAGTGTTCAATGTACAGTTGTTTTCTTTAGCTGCGCGGGTAATGCAGGCACGCACCGCGGCCTTCTCGGCTTGTAAAAGACGCGCGGGAAGGCCGCGCGATGCACGCGCGCGCGATTTCCGCGCATGGCAGCGAGGCTTTTGACTTACTCCGCGGGCGGCGCGCCGGAGGCGCGCTTCAGCGGTTCGGCAGGCCCCGAGCACGCAGCCAGCAGTCAGCTCGGGCGGGGCTACTCCTGAGCTCCCAGACCCTTTGCAGGCCGAAGCCGCATCGGCGGCGGGAGTCTCCGCCACGCCCAAGGGCAAGGGCAAGGGGGGCCCGCGGTCGGCGGAGGCATAAGTCAGGCGGCAGCGTCGAGGCGACGTCTACAGGCTCGCGGGCGAGGCTCAGCTGATCGTCGACGGCATCGTTGGCCACAAGATTGATCGCAGGTGCTTGACGACATCGTCTATGGCGAGCTCGGAGAAGCCGAGCCACTAGACGTGGTGGACGACGACGGCCGCTCGATCATGGACAAAGATATCAAGAAGTACATCGCGTACATGATCCACGGGTTCATGGGCTTACCAAGCGAGGTCGAGATGCAAGTCTAGCGACACGGTGGCCGGGGGTGACCGAGGTCCACCGGTCGCGGCGGCGGCAGCGGCTGCGGGACACCCCGCAGCCCCGACCTTGCAGTGGGAGACCCGACAGGCCCGTGCAATGCGCGAGCAGGCGTTGCAGAGGGCAGGCGCTGCAGCAAGTTGCAGCCGCGGGGGCGACCGCAGCCCGCAGCCGCGGGAGCCAGAGCGTCGCACCTGGGACGGCATTGACACGAAGCTGATGGTCAAGCCGTCTGACTTTACGGGTCTTTCAAGTTGCTCTTGTACATCGCGGCCTCGGACGAAAGCCTGTGGCTGGGCATGATCGCGGTGGGCCAGATGACGGAATGACGTCAGCAACGACGCGCTGAACATCAAGGACCCAGAGCTGGTCGGCGCGTCGCGGCAGCTGCGCGGCGTGCTCGCGCCGCTCCTGGAAGGCAAGCCGTATCGCCCCGCCCCGATGGGCGAGGGGCTCGTGGCGCGGCGCAGGTTCGCAGAGGAGTTCGAGCCAGTTCGGCCAGCGCCGACTCTCAAGCTGACGCTGGAGCGGACGGGGGTGGACTTCTGGAACCGCTACAGCGGAGACGAAAATGCACGATTCCGAGGTGGCGATCCAGACGCACGCGCATTTCGGCAGCATGGTGCCAGGCGACATCAAAGGAAAGATCTTGGTCGCAGGGATCGAAGATCGGGATCTCCAGCAGCGGTCGATGGCGAGCGCCACTTGGGAGTCAACGACGGGATTTCAAGCGCGCTGCGGCGCGCTTGACGCACAGGAAATCGTTCAAGGACGCAGCGAAGACCGCGGCGGGTTCATCCTCAGCGGACGACGGCAGAGCAACTCCGACAAACATCGGGGCGCTGACGACGACGCTGAAGGACGGCGTCGCGAACCTGGCGGAGGCGACGGCGTTCGCGAGCGCCTTCAAGAAGGCGCAGGCAAAGGCCGTGGGAAAGTGAAGACGAGGACGGCGGCGAACGAGGGCAGGGCACGGACGGAGGCGTCGACCCGACAGGCGCCACACGCAGCGGCACCAGCAGCAGGGCGACGGAGGCCAAGGTCAGGTTTCTTTCGGATGGCCAGCACGCGGAGACACGGACGCGCAGGAAGTTTCACCAGAAAAGCCATCTCGCCGGGGACTTCTAGAACGGCGCGACGATGACAAACGCGGACAGCGCCACCAGGTAGACGATCGAGTTCAGAGACGTGATGGCCCGGGTCCAGCTTCGCGCTTGCGACGAGACCCACAACTTCGAGTTCGGCGCCGGGCTCGGCAACGCAGACGCGCGCCAACTCGGCGCAGCTATCGGCGGCGCATGGCGCGGGCAACTCAAGGTCGGCAGCGGGCCGCGCGGGAGACGCCGCATCCGCCGCCCAGCGAGTGTGCAGTTCGCCGCTCAGGCAGTAAATCGGGCCTCGATGATATGGGCCATCGGCTGGGGGCTCCGAAAGTGACGACGAGGGCGAGTACATCATGGTGGACTCGGGAGCGTCGCGAGCGACGCGCCCGCGCCGCCACGCGCCCAGCGCGGCATTGCGCGAGCCGCCCCAGCAATGCCGCATCCGAGCGGCGGACAACAGTCAAGCGCGACACTGCGGGAAGAGAAAAGCGCGGCCCGAGCTGCCTGCCGGGCCCGACGTGGCCGCGGCGGGCACCGAGCGCCAGGTCGCCGACGCGTCGCGCCCCGACACGGGCGTCGCGGAGGCTTGCGATCGCGGACACTACTCAGTGATGTTCTCTCCACCAGGCTCGCCCGTCGCGCCGAGCGCGCTCGCCAACGCCGAGAGCGCGCCCAACGTTCATCTACGAAACCGGATATTCACTTCCAGACGAACGGTCGCGCCGCGGGGGCACCCGCGGCGCAGCCCGAGACGCCTGGACTTGCGCCGGCGGGTGCGGAGGCCGCCGCGGCGGGGGCATTGGCGGCGGACGGCCAGCCCCATGCGCGAAGACCCTCTGCGGCAGTTCCCCAGCGCCAAGTAGACGCCAGTTCATCCCGGCCAGGAGGACACCGACGCGCGCGAGCTCGGCCACCCGCCGCCGCGAAGGTGGCGAGACACGCGCGCGCCAGCCAAAGCGGCGGGTTGCCCGCGCCGACAGAGCGGGCGGGCCTGGCAGCATCGACGAGGCGCATATGGATTATTTCCAGTTCACCACGAGGAGCTCGAATCCTCGGCCAACGGCGAGCCGCGGCTAGCTCCAGCGAGCCAGCGGCTTGGCTGGGCCGCGCCGATGCCGCAGCCAGTGAACCCTGCAGTCGGAGATAGGGGCGAGGTGTTGTTCAACGCACGTGTGGCGGGCCGCGGGCAGCTCGCGGCGGTCGCCGCGACGTTTGGGCTGGAGGGCGCCAGTGCTTTCACGGCGCTGGATGCGGCCGCAGCCATCGACGCCCGGGGCGTCGCCCAGCGCGCCGACAGGCGCCGGCAGCCCTGGTGCCGGCTGCGCACTTTGCCGAGGAGCGCAAGACGAGGGGCTTCAAGTGCCAGCCCACGGCCGCCCCTGCCAGGGACCACGCGCCCATGGGATTCATCGAGAGCACGAATGACCAGGCGGCAAAGACTGTCCGAGTGATCAAGCACCAGCTCGAGTCGGGCATGGGGGCGCGCATCCCCATGTTCCACGGGGCGATGCAGTGTCTGGTCAAGCATGCTGGGCGGCTGCGCACGTGTTTCGCCGCGTGGCAGGCCAGAGGCAACACGGCATGCCACGCCGTCCGCGGGAGGCCCTACCGACTGGGAAGTAGCGACGCTGGGAGAGGCAGGGTGGGCCAGGACGCTTGGCGACCGCGCCGGGGAGGCCGAAGCCCAGCGGCGGTTGCGCATGTGGCCGGGCAAGACTGCGAGGAGCGACGAGCACTTGATCGGAGGGATGAGTCAGACCAACCGCTTCCGCGCGATCAGGAGGCAGCCAGAGGAGAGGAGGCCCAGCGCGAAGCGCGAAAAGCCTAAACATCTTCGCGCGCCCATTGGGGGACTTGACGCCCAGGCTCGACGGCGCGGGGGTCGCCGCTGAGCAGCCGCGGGGAGGGGCCGAGTCTCGCCGCGGCGGCAGCGCGGCACGAGTGCGGGAGGCTGATGCGCAGCCGCGCGGAGCTGAGGAGCGGCCCCCAGGCGTTGGATCAGCAGCGGCACCAGCAGCAGCGGGCCCAGGACCTGGGCGCGCCGCCGAGGCCCCACCCCGAGCGGCGATTTGGGGGGCGCACCTCTACGCGACGAAGTCGACAGAGGAGAGGTTCGGGCCGCCGGTGACATGCCCGAGCTGCCGGGGCGGCGGCGCCGCCCATTCGCGCGAAGGCAGGAGGAGGATGGAGGGCAATGGACGAGCCCGCGCGAGGCGCGGCAGCCCAGCGGACGCCGGGCGACGCTGTCGAAGCTCCAGAGATGGAGGCAGTCGCGGGCGCGGGAGCACCCGCCCCCTCGGCAGCGCCAGGGGGCGCAGCAGCGAGCAGTTCGACGGCCAACCTGAGCGCTCCAGCAGCAGCATCTTCAGAGGGGGCAGCGGGGGACACCGCCGACGCGAGCATGGGCTCCAGGACCCGCCCAGCAGGCCTTGGCGACAGCGAGCCGCGGTCCAAGATGCCAAGGGTGGCCAAGCTCATGGCGCTGCGGCACATCGTCGATCATGCGCGCCACGGACTCGATGGCGAGGACTGCGAGCGATTCCAGCCGTGCGAGGCGCCCGCGCGGGGTCGGAAGATGTCGACGGCGCGGGCAGACGATTTCGTTTTCGAGGCAGTGGTCTACGACAGCCACGCGGGAGACAAGCCCCCGAACGCGCGCGCGGTGCAGGGCCGCCAGACCGAGCTCGACCTGATGCAGGCGCTCGGCGCGCGCGACGACTTCTCTGAAGGGCCAGGCGTGGGGGGGCGCTTCCGACGCAAGTGGCTCGACGGGTTCCGGCGCGAGAAAGACGAGGCCCCGTTCGCGCAATCGAGGCTGCGCCGATGGACATCGACCTCTTCGAGCGCGACGACGCGGCAGCAGGCGCCCCGCACTTGTCCCACGCGCGCTCGGCGGCACCCTTCGCAGCCTCGAGGGAGCCGCAGGGGCGCGGGCAGGGAGCCCTGTGCGACGCGAGCGTGGCCTTCTTCCACGCAGAGATGGACGAGCGGCTGCGCGTCGCACCCCCCTAGCCCCCGACGGCGGCGACGGGCGCGGCGCGCTCTGCGGCGCGAGGCCGGCCCCCAGGCCTTGGCCGGCATGCGTCGGCGACGCGTTCGAGACGAGCGCCTCCTCGGACGGGGGCAACTCCCTGCCCGGGCGCGTGCTACAACGCGAAGCTGGACATCGCCCTGCGAGTTCATGGCGACGATTTCATCGCTGAGGGCGCGCCCGCGCAGCTGTGCGCGCCCGACGCGCTCTCGGAGGAGCGCATCTCGATCGAGAAGCTTGGGCGAGCGGGCCCAGGAGCCACGAGCGGCAGCAACTGTCGACTGCTCACGGGACACACCGAGTGGCGGGAGTCTCTGTCTCTTCGGGTCGCGGTGAGAGCCGACTACTCGCGCGCAGACGACTTGCTGGCACTCCGGGATACGCCAGCTGACGCGACGGAGGCTCAGGCGAACCCAGGATCCAAGGCGACCAAGGAGGCGGTCTCATGCGATCATCTCACGCGGCTGGCGCCAAAAGGCGGGCGGCGTACTAGGCGCGGCGCGAGGCGAAGATTAGCAATGGCCGGGGCTTCGAAGCCGACGCCACTAGCGGAGGTCAGGGTGAAGCGAGCGGATCGGCACTTGATCGGCTGCGCGGTCACGGGGCAGCACTGCCCCGCGCAGGACTTGCCAATAGCGACCGGGCAAGAGACCCAGGCGCGAAGTCAACATTCGGGAACCATTGTCGCGAGGTGCCGACGTCGACTCAGGGGCGCGCGGCGACGTCGAATGGCGCGGCGGAACTACCTTTGTTCAACAGGGCGGAAGTCCGCCTTCCTGTTGCAGCAGATCCTCGCGGCCGGCCGCATCTGGACCCAACGCACTCACTGCAGGCGCGGGGATCGCCCGCTGCGCGGGGTCAGGATGAGCAGTGCACCTGCGCATCCAAGACCTTCATACAGGAGCGCGCGAGGACGAAGGGGCTGAAGGTCATCAAGCTGGACTCCGCTTGTACACCGATCGGACCGAGGAGCGAAGTACCTTCACGGCTTGAGGATCGAGTTCTCGCTGCAGGTTATGGGATTTAGCAACGCGAGGGCGCGCGGTTAGTCACGCGCGCAATTCTCCGGCGGCAGCGCCGCGAGCAGTCGCGACGGCAGCGCGCTCGCGCGGTGCAGCAGGGAAGTCCGCAGCCACAGTGCGACGCTAGACAACGGCAGCGCGAAAGAGATCGGCATCGTCATGCCGCTATTCCTGTTTGCGCTGATCGACATGCCAGGAGACACGGCGGCGGCGCGCAGCCTCCTCGCGACGCGCGCGATGGAGCGCGTCACCGGACGAAGTCGCCAGCGGAAGGCTCCGCGGAAGCGGCCGGGTCGCCAGCTGGAAGATCCGCGGACGCGACCGAGAGGACGAGCACGGAAACTCGCAGTGTTGCCCCGAGGATCACGGAGTGCTTGAACGGGGAGTTCTACGGAACACTATTCAGTGCCGAGCAGATGGCCGCCAGAAACGAGTTGATGCGGCACGCGGATGTTTAGTTGAAGGTTGCGTTACGGGGTCGCGGCATCGGCGCGACAGGCCAAAAGACGAATCTTGCCAACAGGCTGGCGCGGATGGCGACGCCGCCCAGGCCCAACTCGGGCAGTTGTTCGCGCAATCCATACATGCATCGCAGCCCTCTCAGCGCGTGAAAGAACGCGGGAGGGCCGCGCGCTGCACGCGCGCGACTTCCGCGCAGTCTTACTTCAGCGCGCAATCGGTGAGCGGCATGCAACAGAGGAGCGGACAGGGGCGAAGAAATCACCCGAGGCGACGCAACGCAAAACACGAGCATCGGTATGCTGCGACGGACCATTCCGCGCAGGCGGGGACCGGGCGGCGCGCACCCGAGACCGCCGCTACCCAGGGTCCACTTGATGGGGCGCGGGGAGCCGCTTTTGCCCTCGGCGGGCGGGGGCGCAGCGTCGCCGATGGAGGCCCGTTCTGACGCGCGCCTTCCGTGCCAGGCGACGCGCCCTCCATCAGAGCTATGGCAAGCAGGCCGCAGGAGAGATTGCGCCGACAGTGGGCACGCGGTGGGCCGCCAGCGACCACCCGGAGGCAGCCGGCGCAGATCCCCCACCAGACAAAGCGCGGGCGACGGTCCCGACGAGGCGGGTCTTGGCGGCCGGTTCCGCGATGGCGCCGCCGGGCGCCGCCGTCGCTGTCGCCGTTGCGGTCGCCGTCGTCCCCTTCCCTTGTTCCCGTCCTCCTGCGCCCCTTTTCCGCGATAGGAACTCGAGAAGGACGACGAGGAAAAGAAGGAGGAAGAGGAGGAGGAGGAGGAAGATTGGGAGGAGGAAGAAGAAGAGGAGGAGGTGGAGGATGATGATGAGGAGGAAGAGGAGGAGGAGGAGGATGATGAGGAGGAGGAGGAGGAGCAGAGGGAGGAATAGGAAAAGGAGGATTGGGAGGAGCAACAGTTGGAGGAGGATGGGGAGAAGGAGGACGAGGAGGAGGAGGAGGACCAGTGTAAACCCAAGAGTCATCAACGATGTTGGAGTAAACCGTCCCTCCAAGCTCTCTCCTCATAGGCACCTAAAACAGTTCTTCTCCACTGCGGGGACTGCCCCGTCGGAAGACAGCCGCTTGAAGATTCAAGTATGCCAGAACATTGTTCTCGGGAGCCCAACGCCACGCATCAACTTGACTTTTGCGCCTTGCCGAGCCTGGATCGTCTTGGGACGTCAACACCGTAACGTAACAGCTGCACCCGCATAATCCTGAATCTTTACAAAACACCATGCTTGGTACGCTGAATGTTGAAAACCAATCGTCTTCAATCCGTGAAGTTCCTTCAAATGTTTAAAACGCATGTGCGCGGTGCTAAGGCGAGAGCTACTTGAAAAGGAACCGCCGCCCTCAATCCGTGAAGTTCCGGCATGTTTTGAAAACGAATGTGCGCGGCGCTAAAGCGAGAGCAAAATTACGGGTCGCCATCAATCCGAGAAACGCATTGCAAATGTTAAAACGAGTGTGCGCGGCGCTGAGGCGATAACCACATTTTGAAAACCACCCGCCCGCCATTTGTGAAATTGTTGCCAATGTTTAAGCTTCAGGGTCATGAGTGGTGAGGTAATTTCAGGCGAATCGCCCGGACCGCCGTAGAAACTCGCCTCGGGAGGGAGGAGTGAATTATAAGGAAACCGAATGGAGGAGAAGAAGAATAAGAAGAAGGAGGAGGAGGACGACGACGACGACGGCGACGACGACGACGACGACGCTCGCGGCGGGTCTTCCTGCGAGTCCAAAGGCTACGGGATGCCTGGACCGACGCGGTCGCCGCCGTCATAATTGTCGTCGCCGTTTTCGTCGTCGCCGCCGCCGTCGTCTTGGCCGTCCCGGGGTGGGAGGGGGGTGCGCGTGGGGGGATCCGCCGGCCGCTCGGGAGCGGCGGGCGCCGGGCGGGATGCCAGGAGGGGTACTACCTTCTGGCCTCGGTGAGCATACCCTACGGTAGGGAGGCCTGCCCCACCAGCGAGTCCCCCCTTTCTTGCGGAGAGGAGAGATGGAGGGAAAGGAATGGGGGTCCACGAAGGGATCAGCAAAGAAATGAAGACACCCCCACGGCGGGAGAAATAGGGAGAGTGAGAGGGGAGCACAGGAGGAGGAGGAGGAGGAGGAGGAAGAGAGAGGCAGGAAGACGAGGAGGAAGGACAGAAGCAGGAGGAGGAGGAGGAGGAGGAGGAGGAGGAAGAGGGGGGTGGATGAGAAGGAGGAGGAGGAGGAGGAGGTGGAGGGGGAGGGGGAGGAGGAGGGGCAGGAGGAGGAGAAGTAGGGATGAGGAGAAGAACTACGAGAAGGAGCAGGAAGGGGAGGAGGGACGAGGGAACAGAGAGCAGGTGGGAGGAGGAAGGAGGGAGAACGGACGGTGGAGGACGAGGAGATCAGGGAGGGTGGGTGGAAGAGGGAGGTGTGAGGGTGCCTGACACTGTTGCGGACGTTTGAGATGCCATGAGGGCGAGGAGGAGAATGCATAAGCAGGATGAAGAAGAGCAGGAGGCTGGATCATAATGTGGGAGGAAGAGGAGGCGGTCGGATGAGGAGGACCCCGTTAAACGAGCCGACCAAGAAGAACAAGTGCAGATCACATTGGAGAAAAGGAGATCTGGAGAGGGAAGAGGAAGTGGGAGGATGAGAACATCTGATGATCAGGATCACGAGCTGGGTTTGTAAAGAGGAAGAGGATGAGGAGCAAGAAGAATAAGCAGGATCGATCTGGAACATGTGCGTGTGCTTTCACTGAGGGGGCGCGATGTTCAGCCCGCTCGCCAAAACGAATATTGATCATCCCGTTCCAGTGTCTCCTCCACCATGCCCTTCCTCCCCTTCCCCCACTCCCCGTTCTCCCACTCCTGTACCCCCTCCACCCGCCTCATCCGTCTCCCCATGGTATCAGCCTTTTACAGCCCTACCCCCAGAACATCCCCATCCGCCCTCTTTCTCCTCGTCGTCACCCTCCGCATCTTCAATAATATCGTCATTCCTATCTTCATGATCACCAACAACAGCCACATCCATGGCATGTATGTCTGCACACGCCGCGTCACAACGGTTGATGATGGGCGAGTCAGGGGAACTCGCCATCCTCATCAGCAGCAGCATCGCCACCTCCGTCAGCATGCTGGCGATGCGGACCGCGGAGAGCGACCAGGAGGGGACCAGCGCGGGCGACAAGGACAGCGGAGGGGATGAGGGCACACAAACAGGAGTTGACGCTAAGGCGTTCAACATCTTGCAGTTCGGGATGGATCCCGAGGAGATCGCGGAGTTGCCGCCGTACACAGCCGAGCAGTGCGAGGACAGCATGCGGCAACACGTGCAGTGCATGAAGGCTCATCCCCTGGCATGGCCCTCGCCCTCGCCGCTTGCGCAGGTTCCAGCGACCTTGGCGCGAGAGAGTGGCCGACATCCCCGAGATCCACAGGTGCGGTGATTCTGAGGTGTATCAGCATACCATCACCACCAGCATCTTCATCATGAACGTCACCGTCATTGTTGTTACCGCCTTCATCCACGTCAGCATCATCATGATCGTCATCTCAACTACAGTGTTGCCATCGTCGTAGTCTTCCCCATCGAACCATCACCCCATCCTCACCAGCACATCACACGCATCACCTCAGAGTTGGACGTACATACCCAAGATCGTCGACATGGCTTATTGTGTTTCAGAAAAGGGCGAGGGGGGAGGCGACCCTTGGAATTGGTATTTTACACGGAGCACTGCTGAGAAGCACCCCGCGACGAAGACGATAAAGGCTTAGATAACGACCTATTCAATGTTGAGGAAGAGCAAGATGTGCAAGGCAACGCTTGCACCGATTACGATGCCTGTAGCTAGCCACGTCCGGATGGACGTTCCGCTGTTTAGCATGATTTGAGGATCGTTTGTTACCCTGTTTTGATCTCCTCCTCCTCCTCCTCCTCCTCCTCCTCCTCCTCCTCGCCCTCCCACCCCATCCGCTCCCGCTCCTCCCCCTCGTCCTCCTCCTCCATTCCCCCAGTTTTCCTCCCCCTGCTCCTCCTCATTTCCCTGGACGCGCGCTGGGGAGTCCAGGAGGAGGAGGACGACGAGGAGGAAGGGAGAGGACGGGTTTCTTTCTCATCCTCCTCCCTCCCTCCTTTTTCATCCTCCCTCCCATGGTTGCATTTTCCAGGTCACACTGCGTATCCACTGAACGAACTTGTAGATACACGTGCTCGCCTAGTGTCGATCAAGGATATCTCGGATCGTCCACAAGACGGTGTGCCTCGGTCTATAATACTCTCTCAAATGGACAAGGTTCCATGGTTATGGTTGACAGCCGACGCCCACCGTGGTGCGAGGGAGCTCCCACAGTTGACCCCAGCCCGCTTCGACAAGATTGCTCCTGCGGAGGCGTCCCATCTGCGAGCTCTTGCGTCGCCTGCTGCTGGATCGACGATTCGAGACACTCAGCATCCAGACCCGGACAGTCCACAGGATACTACGCCATCGTTTTTCTGCAAACTCAGGTTCGCAGTCGCGAATTACACCGCGACCACGGAGACGACTTACACGCTCTCAAGGAATACGGATACGATGCACGTGCCGGGATGCAGCTGGTACTGATATCCCCGGCAGCGTGCTGGCCTTTGCGCGTCAGTTTGCACGTTGTCAAGATTTGTTCGCAGGCGCGCTTGAGACACGACTGAGGTACAACACTTGGCGCGAAGTGAACCCATATCTCGTGTTGACGTCAGCAACCGAAGCAACTGGATGCTACGGGGTTGCGTCGTGGGTTAACACAGGATTGGAATACCTTCCTGGCTGCACGTTAAACAGACGACATGTTCGGGCACTCTCACATGATTCACGGCACTTGCTTGTAACTGTGCGGGCCCCTTCGTTGCGTATTGATGTTCTTGGTGCACACGCGCCACATGCACGTGCGACAGGAGGTCTCGACATGGTAGCACGGCGGTGGACACGTATGCGCGATGTTGTACTCACGCGGCCTAGTCAGGCCCCGCTGTTTTGTCTAGTGGACGCAAACGCCACTGTCGGGACGGTTCAGTCCACCCACGTGGGTCCCGTGGGCGCCGAGCAGGAAAACGATACTGGACACATTTGTTTCACGATTTCCTACGATCTACGGGACAAAGTGCGGCGTCTATGTTTTTCTGAATTTTTCCACGGCATACATGGTACGTGGATGCCGCCTGTTGCGGCCCCACCAGGACCCGAGACGCCGCATTGACTGAGTGACAGTGCCTCAAACCTTTCACAATTCGATCAGTCGACAAGTGGTTGATCCGACAGTGGATCTGCCTATGTGATATGATGTCCATGTCCTTGTTATGGCCGACGCGCAAGTCAGCAGTGCGGGTCCCGTGCAGGCTATCTTCTCCTGGGCCAAAATCCCCCATGACCCGAAAAATCCAGTTCACCGAGTGCGCGGCCAAGTTTGCTACCAGGGTCAGAAATATTTCGCAGCCAGCTTTCCAGTCGCACCCGGATGATCACGCACAACATTTGAACGACGAGCTAGCTAGGGCGGTCACCGAGTGCTTCCCCGCCGAGAAGTCACCCACGGTACGTTTGCCGCGTCAGGCATGGCTCTCGGTTCGCTCGCTGACGCTCATAGACCGACGCTCTTCTGGACGACGAGAGCTACGTACGTTGCGAAGACGATTCAAATTACTACTGTTTGCTGTTGCTTTTTTGTGCGTGGGCCACGGATGGGGAGGAGGTGGAGGAGTGGTTGGACTACCGACAGCGCAGGTGGAGGTGGTCAGTGCGAGAGGATCCCTCTCGGGCGCTGCTCATTGATGCATGCGACGCAGTTGCACATGTCGGGCCACAGGTGTTCGAGGCTGCAGTGGAGTTTGCGCAACCCTTGCAGGATGTAAGAGGTAGGTTGCCATGGCCCTCCCTCCCATATCGTACATCTGGAGGCCTTGTGGAGACTGTGTCGTGTACCAACACCTGGGAGCCACATAGGTCACCTGCAGCCCAATGACTGCCCCCTGGCAGGCATTCCACGTGCCCTGTATCAATTACAACGTATTGTTCCCAACTTCCGGACGTGGCAGGGTCTCTTGTGGGCCTTCACATGCGTTTTCATGCGCGGTACGGCGTTTGTGATCAACAAATCTACCACGCTGGACGCCGCCAAGCACTACGATGACATCGCGGCTGGCATTCAGCCTGCACGTTCCCGGGGACAGGCAGCGGAGGCCCCCGCTGCCTTACAGCCTCGCCGCAAGCGCATGCTTAAAGGGCTGCCCATCCTCAAGGATGCGCATGCTCAGCCGGTAACTTCGCAGCTTCAGGCAGCCCGTCGCTGGCAGCAGCACTTGGGCACGCTAGAGTTGGCAGCTGCCTTCGAGCTTGCAGACGCGATTAGGCTTGCAGGTCACCTCACACGGGCGCCATGCGATCGGATGTCCTCCGATCTTGTGCCTAGTGATACCCTGCCGACCTTGTCTCAGTTTCAGCATGCCTGCCGCCGGACCAAGCGGGCCGCCCCTGCCTGCGACGGTTTCACGGGAGCTCTGGCGCGCGCTTTCGCCACTGAGCTCGCTGCCCTGCACCGCCCGTTACAACTCAAGACCGCTGTCACCCGAATTGAGCTTTTTCAGTGGAAGGGGATGTCTATCGCGACTTGCTGAAGTCCATCACAGCCGACCCCAGTGCCTGTGTCAGCTCCCGCTCTATTCTGGCGTCCTCACAGCGTGGTAAGGCATCGGGAAGATGCTTGCGGACTCGGCTGGCGCCAGCACTGCTTGCCACAGCAGGGGATGCACAGTCTGGGGGGATACCAGGTCGGGGAACTGGCCACGCGTCAGTCATTATTCGTCTTGCGCAAGCTGTCGCGGCTGCCCGTGGTCTTTCGGCGCGCTATTCCTGGATGTGGCGCAGGCGTGTTACCGTGCCTCGCGGGAACTACCCCTTCGCTGGCCGCCCGACGACGACGCCGGCGCTTGCGTCGTCAGGGCAGCAGGGCTACCGGCGAGTGCCACGCACGAGCTTGCACGGCGCACGCGCGAGCAGACACCTATCATTGAACAGCTAGTGGCGAAGGGTACACTACATGCGCACACAGCAGCTCAGATTTCACAATGCTACCATACCCCCTTGTTCCTATGCGAGGGCTCCAACCAGATTTCCACGCCACAACGTTCGGTTTTCCCTGGGCAACCTCTCGCGGATATATTGCGCGAGATGTTCATGGGCGAACGCACGCGCGCTGCGCGAGCTCAATTTTTCGAAGCTGCGCCCCCAAGGCCCAAGCGCATTGATGCAGCGATTTTGCATCGTTCCGATGCCAAAAATTTTGGATTTGCAGCTTCTTCGGTTTTTCTCTGTTCAAAATTTCTTGCGTCGCCGACCCGCTCCGATATCGGGCATTCGGCGTGCGGCTTGTGCGCAATCTCGCTTCGACGCGTCATTCGAGCGGCGTCGCCGCCGGTCTGTTTCCGCTTTCTCTCTCTGCTACCATTTTTCTTCAAAGTTCAGAATCGCGTTTTCGGGTGTCGTTTCAGCTCGCGGTGGCCCCTGCGGCGGCGTCGCGCGCGTCGCGGGCCGTCTGGAAGCCATCGCGAGCATCGCGGGCCGGTCGTTGGACGACTCGGAGCCCTCGTGGACCGTCTCGGGCGCCTCCTGGGGGGCCCTTTGCATCGTTTTTGGGCGCCTGAGAACTGCGCCCAGGAGAAGAACCATCTCTGGCCCTACCTGGCCGGGGAACTTTGCGCCCGGGGGGTCCTCTAGGCCGCCCCGCGCACGCGAAGTAGAAATGCTGCGAGGCAGTCGCCGGAGAACCTCGCGCACCTCTGGCCCGCGGCCGGCGAGTCTTCGAAGGAGGGGCATGTCCGGCGCGCCGTGGGGCGCGCGACGACTGGGCGGGCCAATTTCGACGACTCCTCTCCTCCTCTCTTGCTGCTGCTTCCCATTCATTATTTGTCCCGCTGCTGCTGCTGGCCCCCCTGCCGCTGCCGCCGCTACCTCCTTTGTCTTTCTTCTGCCGTCGCTGATGTTGCGCGGGCGCGCCTGCCCGGCACGCCGGCGCACCAGGCAGGCCCGCGATTCTGCGCCCACGATTTCGGCAACACGATTTCGCCCACGATTTCGGGCACGATTTTGCCCGCGATTTCGGACGCGATTTTGCCCGCGATTTTCGGCCACGATTCCGCGCCCCCTTGCAAGGAAGGCCCGACGAAACCGCCCACTGCTTTTGAACGCGATTTCCTTCTCATTGATTTAAGCGCGAGAAAAATCGCAGTCAAAAAGGTGCGGAGGCCAAAAAAGCGCGCGAAATCGCCCCAAAAATGCGCCCAAAATCGCGGTCAAACGGGGAGGGGGAGCACGGC